AAAAACCTTAAGCCAAATGGGTTTAGAAGGAACAATCCTCAATTCAATCAAGACAATTTATGACAAACCCATAGCCAGCATCATACTGAATGTGGAAAAGTTGGGAGCATTTCCATTAAAATAAGGAGGCCCAATTTCACCACTGTTGTTTAATATAGTTGTAGAAATTATAGCCAGGGCCATTAGGCAAGAAAAAGGAATTGAAGAGATATAAATTGGAAGGAGAAAGTCAAATTATCCCTATTTGCAGATGCCATGATCCCACATGCAGAGAAACTAAAAGACTCCACTAAGAGACTATTGGAACTCATAAAAGAGTTTGGTAAAGTGGCAGGATGCAAAATAAACACACAAAAAGTAATAGCCTTTGATTACACAAACAATGCCAAGGCTGAGAATGAACTTGTAAGATCAGTCATATTCACAATTTCTGTAAACAAGACAAAATTTAAATGCCTTGGAATAAATTTAACCAAGAATGTGAACTATATCTATGATGAAAATTATAAAACAATAAGGATAGAAATAGAAGAAGACACAAAAATTGTAAAAATTTTCTATGGTCGTGGATTGGAAGAAGTAAAACCATCAATCAAAATGTCTATATTATAGAAAGCCATTTACAGATTCAATGAAATTCCATACAAAATACAATCACATTCTTCTCTGATTTAGAAAAAATGACGTTAAATTCCATATGGAAACATAAGAGACACAAATTGTTAAAGCAATCTTTTTTGTTTAAGACTTATTTATTTATTTATTTGAAAGGCAGAGTTACAGAGAGGCAGAGGAAGAGAGACAAGAGAGGTCTTCCTTTTGCTGGTTCACATCCAAGATGGCCAAAATGGCCAGACTTGCAGTGATCTGAGCCAGGGGTCACAAGCTTCTTCTGGGTCTCTCACATGGGTACAGGGGCCTAAGGACTTGGGCCATCCTCTACTGCTTCCCCAGGCCATAGCAGATAGCTGGATCAGAAGTGGAGCAGCCAGTACTTGAACAGGTGCCCATATGGGATGCCAGCAAGGCAAGCAGTGGCCCTACCCGCTATGCCACAGAACTGGCCCTCCTAAAGCAATCTTAAGCAACAAATATAAATCCAGAGTCCAAGACATACTACAGGGCAGGTATAATCAAAACATCATGATAGTGGCATGATAGTAGACAAATGGAACATAATAGAAACATAAAAGAAACCCCAGAAATCAACCGATACATCTACAACCAACTAATCTTTGACAAAAAGCTAAAATCAATCCTTGATTCAGCAAATGGTGCAGGGAAAACTGGATCTACACATTCCAGTAATATTGAACATGGGAAGACCCGGAAGAAGTTCCTGGCTCCAGGCTTCAGTTTGGCGCAACTCCTGCCATTGTGGCCAATTGGGGAGTGAACCAGCAGATGAACGACTTCTCTCTCTGCCTCTCCTTCTCTCTCTGTATAACTCTGACTTTCAAATAAATAATAAATCTTAAAAAAAAAAAAACCTAGCCAAACAAAAATTATTCCACAGTTATTTCAAATGGATATTCATCTCTACACAAGAATATACTGCGTGTAAAAACATATTATACACAATTTATAGAAAGATAGAAAATGTTCATGGAGTATAGTATAGGGGTGCTCTGCTCAGGAACTCATTGTCAAATAATCATCAGTGATCAATCAACATAAATCATCACTTTATCCAATCAACTAAACAATAAATGTAACAAAAAATCAGAACCTTTTATCTGAAAAATCTACTTGACATATTTTCTATGATTATTGCTTTGTTCCAGGATGAACAGAGATCACTGTATTTTAATGACAAGATGAGTTGTGCCAGGGGTGATTTGCTATGTTCTAAAAGCTGAATCCTAAGATCCCAAATCCAAGTAAAAGTATCTTCATCTGTGAAAGAGATTTTCCCTGACTGATCAAATAAAACTTTGACATATTAAAAAATAACATATATTGAGGCCGGTGCTGTGGCGTAGTGGGGAAAGCCTCCACCAGCAGTGCCAGCATCCCATATGGGTGCCGGTTCGAGACCCGGCTGCTCCACTTCCCATCCAGCTCTCTACTATGACTTGAGAAAGCAGTAGAATTGGGCCCTTGCGCCCACGTTGGAGACCTGGAAGAAGCTCCTGGCTCCTGGCTTCAGATCGGCACAGCTCCAGCCATTATGGCCAACTGGGGAGTGAACCAGCAGATGAAAGATCTCTCTCTCTCTCTCTTTCTCTCTCCCTCTTTCTCTCTCTCTCTCTGCCTCTCCTCTCTCTGTGTAACTCTGACTTTCAAATAAATCAACAAATCTTTTTAAAAATAAAATAAAATATATTAAACACATCCTGCCTACCTAAGGACAGATGGATACATGGAAAACACTATATATTTATCAACTGGACCTGGGTAAAAAGCTATTGGGGAGGGGGAAGTGAACATGGAGGTTTGTCAAATATTTTTGAATGAAACCATCCTTCTAGGTCTTAGTCTAAAGAATTTTGTGGAATTTCCCCCCACTTTTTAACACTCAAACTTCTGAACAAGAATTAACTCTGAAATATTCCATGGAACATAAAATTTCATAGGTATATTCTACTCCTTTCACAATTTTTGTACATAAGATAAAAAGCATTCACCTATGTTTCCAACCCAGCTTCATGGTAATATGCTTGGTAAGGCAGTGGATGCTGGTCCAAGTATTGTGTTCCTGCTACCTACCTATATGGGAGACCCAGTTGGAGTTCCCCATTACTGGCTTTAGCCTGGATCAGCCTCAGCTGTTGTAGCCAATTGGGGCATGAATCAGCAAATGGAAGATCATTCTTTGTCTCTCCCTCTCTCTGTATCACTCTGCCTTTCCAATAAGTAAAGAAATAAATCTTTAAGAATTCAAAGGATTGGGGCAGCATTGTGGCACAGCAGATTATGCAACACCAGTATCCCATATGGATGCTGTTGGTGTCCCAGCTACTCCTCTTCTAATCCAGCTCTCTGCTAATGAGCCTCAGAAAACAGCGAAAGGTGGACCAAATGCTTGGGCCCACGATACCCAGGAGGAAGACCCAGATGGAGTTCCTGGCTCCTGGTTTCAGTTTGGTCCAGCCATGGACCAAACTGTAGCCATGTAGGGGGTTAACCAGTGCATGGAAGATCTCTCCTTCTCTTTCTGCCTCTCCTTCTCTCTTGGTAACTCAGCTTTTCAAGTAAAATAAATTTTAAGGAAATTAAAAAAAAATAATTCAAAGTATTTATACAGAAGGCCAAGAAAAAAAAGTTTAGAATCTTTAACAATGAAGAATGGGACTGGGAATGGGACAGGGAGGAGGTGAACGGGTGGGAGAGCACGTATGGTGGGAAGAATCACTACATTCCTAAAGTTGTACTTATGAAATGCATGAAGTCTATATTACTTAAAAAATGGTTTCCTTGGGGGGGGGGAAATAAATTAAAAAAAAAAGATACAGAGAGATTAACATTCACCTCAGCTATTTTAAATATATTCTAGAATGTGACTTGAAATGCATGTGTGGACATTGACTAACTTGTAACTACATGAGATAATAGCACATCCATATATACACATTATCCACCCATTGTATGTTACTTACCCTAGCATTCAATTAAATACAATCTACAAAGCCTATTAAATTCAATATGGAGGCATAAGATTATGACAGTCATTAGGTTTTTAAGCAAGTTAAAGATAAACTGGTTAGGAGGCCTTTTTCCTTTTGTTCCTCTGCCATTGATTGCAATGGAAAACTAGAATACCAATATTTTTAAGAATTCAATAAAAGTGTGATACTGACTTCCTGTGTGTAAGTCATATCAGGTTTGAAACTTGTTGGTTACTTGAATTACACTTAAACCAATATACATTTGATGAAAAGTTTTTTAAGCAAAGCAACAGATTGACCCATTTTTCTCTGCACTTAAAAAAGAAAAACTTAACTACAGATTTATTTCAGAAATTACCTCTAAGGCAACTGTATAATAAATGTTCATTTTGCTTTTTCCCGATCTGTTTCTCCACCAAAACGGCATAATGTAAAATTTAAGTCATACAAATGACAGTTCTTGCAAATAGACTGGTGCCCTAGCTTTATTTTTTTAGTTTTCTCTCATTTTCTTGTGACCAGATGTAATTGGTCATTTACTAACTGAAATGTTTCTATTTTATAGGAAAAGGGCTTTTCTGCTTAAAAAGATGTAATGAATTAGAAGCTGTCTTGTTTGGTTTTACCATTATCATAGCATCAGAATCACATTAGAATTTGACTAATTAAGAATAAGTTATCTTTGAATCTTAGAAATACAAGTATTTGAAATAAGGGAAAATATTGTCAAACCTGTATCCCTTCATATGAATAGGCTTTTACATTTACTATTGCCTGTTGGAAATAAAGAAAGGAATTTATTGCCTCTGAGGGTAGGGAAAGCCAAAAGACAGTTTATCCATTGGCATAGATTTATCTAAAGAAAGTATTAAAAATTTAAGCCCTTCCTAAAAAGAAGTGAGGATATCTCACTACACTTTTTAAAAACAATTTTGTTTTTTCAATAACATATAAGTACACCTGAAAATGTAAGTTACATAGCAATGGTTGCACAAATATGCCTAGAAAGGTAAGTGAAAACTAAAAGTACATTTTGTGGCAGTGGCGTCAACAATTTTAAAGGATGTATATACTGTCACTTGAGGAAGAGCAAGATCATTTGTGAGGATGTTGGGAAGACAGCTAAAGCTGTTTGCATGTAACAAACTTTACTGGGTTGCATTCACCACTGAGGGTACCCAGTCACTGCATCACAAAGATTATTTCACAAGTCTCCAGTTCTTAAGATGACTTATCCTGTTGCAGAACAACCAAAAATGATAACATTCTCTTTTGAAAACAGACCAAAAGACAGTAAAATATGGTTGAGCCAGGGCTTTCCACACAGTAGTTAGGAGTTGCTCAAAAGAGTAGAGTTCTAAAATTTATTTTGATTTTCTTAAACTTACTCACTTGTGACCAATCTCATGTGCAATGGTAAAAGCTGAACCCAGGCCAATGTCTTCATTAATGCTGCAGCTCCTTTCAGGCTCACACATTCCAGCCACAGAGGCCAAGCCTGAATAAACAGAAAGAGACACAAAGGGTCAAGCCAAGGTGTTTCAGTCTTAAAAAGCCCATACTTATAAATGCCTGGATTCTTTTTAATAACCTCCATGCACAGAAGGAGCAGTTGGCAAAAGGTTAACTTTCTAGTCATTTGCAAAATCACTGGGGGGAATTTCACTTTGCCGGCTAGACATTAATATTTTTTGAACTGCAGTCAGTGCTGGAAAATGTCTAGACTAGGGGTTAGATTTATAAATTTTACTTCTGGTAACTTGGGACCACCTAGTAACTTGAGCCAGAAGAGGGAATTCAAGAAAGCATTTCTATTTTAACATTCTTCAGGCTGTAGAAAGCAAAATATATCCACATTATTTTTCTAAAGAGATCTGTTTAAATTTAGTGGGTTCATAAAAATACATGAGCAACTTTTTAGTTGCAAAACAGGGGGATCCCAAATCATTTTTAAAAATGACATTTTTATAAAAACAAAAAGGAGAACTGCTGAAGATGGGACATTTCATACTTTTTAAAAATCTTTTGAAATCAGTCCTGATAGTGATGCAACAATTTCTCTTCATATTTAAATGGAAGAAAAGTCATTCACACTTTGAGTGTAGTTTCCCTCTCCCTCCTTCCCCTAAAATGCATTGGAGTTTTGCTAAAAAGCAACAACTACATGTTAGTTCAACGACTCCAGTGAAATGCTATGTTACTCCAGGTATTCTCCCCTTGGGAATGTCAGCATGTAAAAACTCCAATATTTACTTCTAAATGAATGTTAGGCTCTGTGAAGTAGTAAAGAACTTTAAAAACAGTGCTTAAAAAAAGAATTTTTGTGCAAAAGGATTGTCATTTGTTACAAGGAAACAGATAACAAATCCTACTCCACACACATAGAGACAAGAAATTATTTAGAAGAAGTTAAAGAAAAAGTAGGAAAAATGTTTTATATATTAGTAGACTACTACTGTCACCCAAATATTAAGAATTACCTTCTACCAAAAGTGATTTCAATTCAATTCAATGAATATTTACTGCATGCAAGAAACAATGTTCTGTTGTAGGTACAATTTCTCCATGGCACTAGTTTGGAACAGTAAATGCTATTCAATTTGTGTTTTTACTGACGAGAAAGCTCTAGGCATTGTGTTTCTCTATGTTTCCTCACATAAAAATCAAAATAATTACAGGTATACTGGAACAGAGGCAAAATTAGTGCTGGTTTCCTAATAGATTTCTTTGCCTACTGTTTTATATGGGAGGAGACCTATGTTGGGGAGGGAGGTGAATTCTATCCTGCTGAGTTTTTAGAAATATTGATGATACTCTTGTGCTGCCCTTCCACTCATGTAGAGGTCTTGGGAACAGAAAAAGGAGAAGTGAAAATAGGAAATGATTAGGGAGAGATGATTTTTTATTAATAGAAAATAATGAATATCACTTCCAATCTCCACGAAAAGAAACACACACACATACAAAAGTCAGAATTAAAAATATTGTAGTTTATCTGACTTTAAGCTATTGGAATCCATATGGCTCATCACATGGGAAGAAGAAAGCTACACTGAACACTGTTTCTCTTTTGAGGTTCATGAAACGTGGTTTAAAAAAAAGTTACTAAGAATTATTTTTAAACTAATATTTCTCCTATTTCCCAAAACATATTATTCCATGAGTTAGCTGTTTTGGTTTTGCTGTTGCTGTTGTGCTGTTTTTGGTACGTGCCATGTGGCTGTATTTTCAAGTAAGATCTCAACAATTCTCTGAGATGTATATAGAGGCACATAGTTATTTCTGATATCTGATAAAATGGTTAACTCTACTAAAATATAAGACAGAATATATTTAGAAATAACTACTAATTATTGAAACGCAAGTGTAAATCTTAACTAGAATAAGGAAGTATTTTAAATGTTAATGTATTTTCACAACCCCCATCATTTTCTGTATCCCTATAAAATTAAAGCTGTCAAAGTTCTTATGTGTGATTGTGTTAATAGGGGTTTGATTACTATTTGGGTCATTTAGATTTCCTCAGTTTGATGGCCATAGTTTGCACCCTTAAGCTAACTTAATCAATTGATCATTGAGTTACTAAACAAAAAATATGCAAAAATCAGTATAAAAGTCAAAATGAAAGTTACTAGAATGACAACTCAAAAAGTAACAGCCTGATCAATTTTGTACTGATATATATTTTCCACACAGGAAATTAGCACATATATGAAATTTACTCAGCTTTCATTATAAGGGATACTATAAAATAATATATAATTGTTCATATTTTTAAAATAATTTATGTTGCACTTGAAAAATAAAGTATTGATTCCAGAAATTAATAAACTATCAAAGTTGGAACACACTATTTTGAAAAAAAAAAAGTAGCAAAGGAAAACTCCTCAATTTCTTGGTAACAATAACAAAAGCACTATATAGTAGTATTACTAATGCCACAATGAAAGATATATTCACTATTAATAATCTATCCTCAAAAAGCAGAATAGACTACACATGCACATTCATACATACTCACACACACACAGAGGTATATATGAGGACACTTCAAAAATGTTCATGGAAAGTTTAAGTAAAAGGTAAGTTTCTTTTGGCAAAAAATTTGGAAATTCATGCACATGAAAGGACTTCAAAAAGTTCATGGAAAATGTATGCCATGAAAAAATTCATGAATCTCAAAAATTTTTACAACTAAAATAAATGTATATGCTAATTATATTTTCTATGAACTTTTTGAAGTACCCTATTGTATACACACATATGCAGTCATATGTTACATAACATTTCAATTCACAATTGACTGCATATACCACAGTGATTCTATCCTGATTATACTGCCTAGTGACACAGCCATCTTAGTGTGCGTCAATACATTATATGATATTAGCACAACAATGAAATAGCCTAAGGACGCATCTTTAAGCAGCATGTGACTATATACATATTATTGAAAAATACAAGCTCTAATTCATATGTGTATTTTCTTTGAAGCTTAGTGTTTACTGTATCTAAACTAGATTAAGCACTTAGTAATACTGATGGATACATAGAAATTCAACATTTACAGAATTTGAATGGTAAATACAGGAGTTGAGGTAAATAGTATAGATAATTTCTACATTAAACACTACCAATCCCTCCTTACAGTACTTCTTTACTAAATATCTTAATATTTTCTTCTTTAAATGACTTTAACAATATCCCTGTAGCAAAAAGGCAGGCAATATTTGCACTTTGCAGGTAAGAAAATTGAGAAACAAAGAGCTTAAATAATCCGTAAAAGGCAATGCAGTGAAACTGTCAACAGCAGTTGTAGGCTCCCAGCTCAAGGTTCCCTCTGTTGGATTATGTTGGTCTTACTAACCTAAACACTATGAAGAAAAATCTTTTTGAGGTGCGCTGTCTCAGCAAAAAGAGCACTTGCTGTGTTACACATTTTAACTAATTTCTCCACCCATAATACTCAGAACTGGCTAATTGGAATTTCCTCTATAGCTATAATTCCTAAGAGCAATGGGATATGAGAACCTGAGAAGGCAGGTACAATCATCATGAGACGTTTTAATTATGGAAGAGAAGGAAATTGAATAACACTTTTTCTCCTGCATCTGGAGGCACATAGGAATTAACTTCATAATTGTATTTACAGGTAAGAAAATTGAAACTTGTCATACAGACTAGAAGAGTTACCTTCAGTTGCTTGACTTCTGAGTCTGTAAAAAGCCTCTATGAGACAAAAATAAAATCTATCATAGGAAAAAAGTTCCTGCTCCTTTAAAGAACTCTATATGTGTAATAATTTAGTCTGTTGGAAAGCTAGCATTTTCTCCCTTGTATTTGCAGTTGACTTCCAACCAATATGAAACTGTATTTCATAACAAAACATTATTTTTACAATCTAGAATACTACAGAAATGCATTTTAAGAAGCAAATGATACTGGGGTGGGCATTTGACATAGTGACTTAAGTTGCTGCTTGGGATGCCCATATCCCATATCAGAGTGCTGAGTATAGTCCTAGCTACTTTGCTTTCAATGCAGATTTCTGTTAATGCACAGATGATGGCTCAAGTACTTGGGTCCCCGCCATCCACATGGGAGACCCGGATGGAGTTCCAGGCTTTTGGCTTCAGCCAGGCCCAGCCCTGGCTATTACAGGCATTTGAAAAGTGAGCAAGCAGATGGAAGATCTCTCCCCTGCCTCTCCACCCCCTCTGCCTGTCAAATAAAGTGAAAATTAAACAAACAAATAAGAAAATAAATAAAGCAAGTGATTTATAGGGAGCATAAAGAGAAAATTCTGTCCTATCCCTCTCCTTCTGGTTATAATATTTTATAAAATTGCTTCCTTTTTTGGTTGGGATACTAAAAATTTACAATAATGTATTTATAAGGCTATATTCTTTCCATAAAATTGCACCAAAGGAAATATTGTACTTGAGAGGGCCCTTTTAAAAATCCCCAGATTTTTGTTTTCCTTTTCTTGTCTAGCCTTTGATTTGAAGATGCTGGTTGCTTCCAATTGCTCTCAAATTCCTTGATATTTTATGGGAAATATATGACAGAGATGCATTATATGAAAATGAGTAATAAGTTATAATTTTTATTTGATGATTTTAATCATTTTCTAAGTTGTTTTTAATCATTATTCCAGTTTTCAGGGGAATAAAGCCAGTAAAATTTAGATAGTATTTATTATAAGGATAAATATGTTTCCTAGTAAATGGCATACCCAAAAAGGTCAGATTTAACTATTTTAAGGGGTAATTTCAGGTGTGCAAGAGAGGATAATGACCAAATTAATAATAAAGAGTAAAGTCATTGATCCAAAAAGACAATCTGAACTATCCTTCCTTTATTAAAAAACTTACCCAGTGTTCCACAGGGCTTATTTTTATAAGTGCAGATATCATATCTATGGAGGAGAAAAAAAGAGAGATGAAATTTGTAATCTGATCAAATTTTGTAAAATAATTTTTGTATATTCATCACATTTCTTTCTTGGAGCTCTGGTTGTCAAACCACAATCAATGCAATTATGAGCAGCCAGCTGGAGTGTCAGCATTGTCAGCACTCTGGGGGACACCGCAGGCTACACTGCACTCACAGCCTCTGGCTGCAAGCCAATAGGACACCTGCCAGTAAGAAAGAAAGGTTAAAGTGGATTTTTGTAATCGTGAGTTCCATAAAACCATCTACCAGACTGTTTTGAAGCTAGAATAGCCTGTCTGCAGATCGCTACTGCTTCTACAAAAAGCAAATAAGTGGCGTTTATTTCCAATCTTTTCTGAATCTGCTGAGATGTTTTCTTGTTACAGCCACTGACGGTATTTTATATGTCTGAGTTATAAGCACTTCTTGGAGTTCCTTCAACCCCAGCACAGATCGTTGTTGTTGTTGTTTTAAACAGTAAAACACAGCACTGATAATAAAATTTCTATATTTTTTCCTAGTTGGATGCTAGCAATTTAATTTAGAATGTTTAAAATACAAATATTTTAAGTGACTTTTACAATCAGCCAAAGGCATGGCTCAATAGAAACCTTTTCTAATATTGGCCAGATACTCCAATGTTGTACAGCAGTATAAATCAGTAAAAATTGGGTCCATAAAGCACTGTTGCATTTTAAAAATATATGCTATTATATTTAGAATGCTGTCAATATTTATTTGAATGTTTAAATTCAGCATTTTAATGATATCATTATAAAATAATCTTTTTAAACCCAAAAGTATTTGTGTAAGTTAAGTGTTAGAAATAAAAAGATTTTTAGGTTAAAAAATAAAGTTTCATAAACTGCAGGGAAACCCAAGTTCTTTTTTGTTGCATGTAAATATTGGTTAGTCAGTACTACCAGGGTAGGATGTTAATAATTTATATCATTCTGATGCATCAGTCAACAGGCCAAAATGCATTTTCAAGAAACAAATAATGCAATCAATCATACCAGTAATATTTCTGAAACTCATTAATTTCCCTAGAGATTCCCTCTGCCTATTTTTAGATTTTGAAATTTTTCATCTTACTCATTTTATATTTGGGGACGGGAATTTTTTTTCTTTTTAAATAACATCTTCAGGCTATTCATGTATTCATCCCCTCTCTTTCCTTTCTCGTGATTGATAAGCGTGGGGCTGCAGTGTCCAGAACATTCTGGAATGTAAGATACAGAGAGTGTACTAGGGTGCCAGAAAGTATATTCTGAGGATCACAATCAATTATCTTGTGATCATGTTGTGTTATGCCTATTATGTTACGTAGTCACAAACCATTCCAGCAGTCTTCAAGAAAACATAAACAAAGGCTTTTCTTGGGTAATGTAGATATAAATGTTTAAATAGACTTTATTCCCAAATCCTCATGTGCCATATGTGCTTCTTCTAAAACTGATCTGCCTGAGAATGCACTTGCAATCCAGTAGTCTTCCTTCTGTTTTGCCATTCACTATACGCCCGTTTCTGTTGTACAAAAAAAAAAAAAAAAAAAAAAAAAAAAAAAAAAACCATATCTTTCAGCCATCCTAAACCTTGTTATTTGCATTGTCCCATGTGTAAACATCTCTAGAACACAAAGGAACAGAATAATTGAACAAACGTTGATACTGATCCTGAGGAATAATATCTAAGTAGTAAAGCAAGAAAAATTTAAATAAATGATACTTATTTCATGCTGGAAAGGCTTTATACTTTTCTGCCAGTCTGTCTATTTACAAATCAATCTGTATATTTACCTCACAATTAGAAGGCAGAAATGGGATTGGAAGTCATGGAGAGCATTGCCAAGTTCATTTAATGTAAAAAAAATGAAGTCAGACTTGATATTGACAGACACGAAGTCTGACTTAGCTAAGAAATTGGCAATGAAAATTGATTTAAACTATTAGATTATATGGTGAACATTTTTGATAACTGAATGAGCTAAATATATTGCTCCAAAGTTTTGACAAAACTCATTTAAAGTACACACACATACACACCCACATACAGTTTTACTGTGGTCTCTGAAGCTACTTCAATTTGTGATTAAAATTGTTTTAGATATTAACTTCAAAATGTGCAAAGTGGTACATCATTTTCCAAAATGGATTTAGGAAGTGAATTAAACTAAAAGATTGAAGACCATGGACAATTATAACTTTTTCTTCAAGCTTATAGCAATCTTCTCATCTTACTTTACCTACATATATTATGTTACACTCAGGAAGTACATATTTCATTCTGTCACATTGCCCTAAATAACCCAGTAGATTATATTCATCAAGTAATAATCAAGCTAGAACATTTTAGACCAAGATGATGTCATTTGCATTTTCTTCACATTTCCCAATCTTCTAACACAGATACAGAATTCTATATAACATATTCTATAAAAGGAAAAGACAAGTCTCTTCCTCATGGTTTTTAGACTTCTATTCCCACTGAATACTTCAATATTCTCTATTCACAGAGAGTAATTATGACTGATCTGCTATCTTTAATATATCAATACTGAATAGCAACTTTTTTATTCATTCTTTCATACATGGATTTGCTGAGCACTTATTTGCCTAGCTACATTGTCATATACAAGGAATTGAAAGATGGTAAATTAGTTGGGATGCATTTCGAGAAAAAAACAGAAGCAGATAGGTTACAAAATAATGTGGAAATAAGATTAAATAACCTAAGTGTAAAAATTAGTTAAACATGGGGCCGGTGATGTGGCGTAGTGGGTAAAACCACCACCTGCAGTGCCCGCATCCCATATAGACACCACTGCCTATCCAGCTCTCTGCTGTGACCTGAGAAAGTAGTAGAAGATGACCCAAGTCCTTGGGCCCCTGCACTCACATGGGAGACCCAGAAGAAGCTCCTGGCTCCTGGCTTAGGATTGGCGCAGCTCAGGCTGGTTGCAGCCATCTGGAGAGGGAACAGGCGGATGGAGGACTTTCTCTCTCTGTCTTTCCCCCCTCCCTCTCTCTCTGCCTCTCCTTCTCTCTCTGTGTAACTCTGACTTTCAAATAAACAAATAAATCTTTTAAAAAAATTAAAGTTCAATGACTTGATTAGCCCTTGTCCTGACTGTCGAGGAACAATTTAATACTTTATCCCATTTAGTATTTTTTTTTTGTTCTACTTAATACTATTGGTTGAACTATTTAATTAACACACAATTATTCTTAGGTGTTTAGTTTTAACTGAAAATTGATCCCTGTTAAATATAAGAGTGGGAATAAGAGAGGAAAGAGATGTACAGTTTGGCACATGCTCAATCGGACTTGCCCCAAATGGTAGAGTTAGAAACCAGGGGATTCCAATTCAATCCCATCAAGGTGGCATGTACCAATGCCATCTCACTAGTCAAAGTGATCTGTTTCAGTTCATAATTGATCATAATGAAAGGATTAACAGTCAAAGGGATCACATAAGCAAGACTAGTGTCTGCTAATACTAACTGAAAGAATTAAAAAGGAGAAAACGATCCAACATGGGAAGCAGGATACACAGCAGACTCATAGAATGGCAGATGTCCTAAACAGCACTCTGGCCTCAGAATCAGCCCTTAAGGCATTTGGATCCGGCTAAAAAGCCCATGAGAGTATTTCAGGCAGGAAAGCCAAGTCATTGTGGCCAAAAAAAAAAACCTAAATGAAAGATCTCTGTGAGTGAGATCCCAGAGGAAAGAAGGGGCCATCAAAGAAGGAGGTACCTTTCTCTGAAGGGAGGAGAGAACTTCCACTTTGACTATGGCCTTGTCTGAATAAGATTGGAGTTGGCGAACTCAAAAGGCTTTATAGCCTTGGCAACTCATGACAAGAGCCTCAGGTGATTACTGACGTCATAAAAAAGAGTGTCAATTGTTAAATCAACAACAGGAGTCACTGTGCACTTACTCCCCATGTAGGATCTCTGTCCTTAATGTGTTGTACTATGTGAATTAACGAAACAACTAGTACTCAAACAGTATTTTTCACTTTGTTTGTGTTTCTATGTGGGTGCAAACTGTTGAAATCTTTACTTAGTATATACTAAATTGATCTTCTATATATAAGATAATTGCAAATGAATCTTGAAGTGAATGGGATGGGAGAGGGAATGGGAGATGGGATGGTTGTGGGTGGGAGGGAGGTTATGGGGTGGAAAAGCCAGTGTAATCCAAAAGCCGTACTTTGGAAATTTATATTTATTAAATAAAAGTTAAAAAATAAAATAAAAAATAATGTATTCATGGAAAGCAAAGTAAATAAATAAACCAAAGTATTACAAAGTCAAAAAATTAAACTTATTAAATGTAATCAATATTCTTTTAGTTTATTGTTAGTATGACTATTGTCATATTCAAGTTATATACAAAATGCCATAGATACTATAGGTGTGCAGAGGAAGGAGTGATTCCACACAGAAAAGTGGGAAACAAATTCATACAGAACATAACATTGAAACAGATCTTACAAAATTCAGCAGATAAAAAGGAAAAGTAATGGCATTCCAGGCAGAGAACAGAACATTCACTGGAATAGAGCCTAGAAAGAGCATAGCATACTGAGGGAACTACGAGAAATTCAGAGATTGAAACATTGAGTATATGGCATGAAATATCAGAAAATGAATTCAGAAAAGGTGAGGAAGATTATTAAGTATTTTGAATACCAAACCAGTTTGTTTTTTTGTTCTACAGGTAAAAATAACTTAGAAAAGCTTGCATAGTAGGAAAGCCCTTTTACATTTGTTTATGTGACTGTATATAGAGATTGACTATGTAGATATAAATCTGTGAGGACAATAGTGAGTAAGGGAAAAATGGGAGAGTAGGAAGAATATATTGATCCTGCTATATTCATTTCTAAATAACTACCATTGAATCAGAAAGTGTTTCATATATGCCTATCTCTGATGACTAATACAGGGGAAATTTGAGAATTGGCCTGAAGATTG